GCTGACCAGTGTGTGGGCCTGATCCTGTGTGTGGGACTCACGTCGGGTGCCTGTGGGGCCAAATGGCTCCTGACTGTGGCTGTCCGCAGGCACAATTGCTCTAAGGCATTGCTGTGGGTCCAGGATGTGAGCTCTTGTGAATGTGCCAGAACCTGGGCCTGGACCCCCCTTCCCCTGACCTCTGACTGAGTCACGGGCCCTGTTATCTCATCCTGTGCTGGCCAGGAGCACGAGCAGCGTCGGAAGTGGAAGTACGAGCTGCCGCCTCTGGGTTCGGGTTCTTCATGCCAGCCCTGGTCACACAGGGGGATCCTAGGAGTTTCCTTCCCAGCCAGACCTGCCCCAGGACATCCCGGTGCGTGCCCAAGTGCCTGGGGCGAGTGCCCAGCCCAGGACTCGGCCTCTCTGCTCAGCAGCCTCTGCCCGCACTGCCAGGATGCAGCGGGGACTCCATGCCACCCTCGTCCTTGTGCTGGTGCTGGCCCAGCCCCCAGGTGAGTGCCGCAGGGGCGCAGGCGCTGGGAGCCCTGCAAGTGCCAGGCCTGGAAATCGTAGAGGGATGCGTGGGAGGAGCAGGGAGGGCTCAGTGCTGCGCGGGGCCAGGTCAGCAGCTGGGTAGGGCTGGGCTCTCAGCCCAGGACACAGCAGTCTCAGGCTGACCAGTGTGTGGGCCTGATCCTGTGTGTGGGACTCACGTCGGGTGCCTGTGGGGCCGAGACAGAGGCATGGCAGGAAGAATGCCGTTGCCCACGTCACACTGGGCACCCAGTCTCTTCTCTCCATGTCGGGTGACCACCTTTGTCAAATGGAAAGGCAGGACACGTGCTCCCCTTTCCTCCCCACCGCCCCCTGGATGAGCCGCCCGTGGCTCATCCTGCTCCTGGCCCCGGGCCTCGGGCCCCATGCACCGCTCTGGCTGGACAGTGCCCCCAGCCCTTGCCCCACTCCCACCCTCACTGTGGGGGCCTCAAGCTCCCTCCATCCCCCCGCCCCATAGACAGCCTGCAGGAGCTGTTCTCCACGCTGCCCGGCTGCGTTCCCAGCCACGTGCATGTGTGCAGGTGGAAATATGCATATGGGGCCATCTGGGCCCCGCTCCGGGCAGCCCCAAGCAGTCCCTTGCAGGCTGCAACATGGCACACCTGCAAGAGGGAACTTGCCATTTCCCGATCCCTGCACGAGGCTGTGAATCTGGCACCAATACAGTCCTGGAGTTGTGCAGCTCAGGACCAGGACTTGATGATCCCATTGCGGGACTGTCCGATCCAACGAGGAATGGTGGTCCCCCTTTGTCCAAGCCCCCTCCCTGCCCTGGGGGTGCCCTTTGCCTTGGGCTGGGCATGGTCCCACCAACCTCTTCCTTCCTATCTGGGCTCCCAGTGACATGCTGGGTGACCCACACCAGGCACTGCCCGTTCGGGGCCTGGTATCTCCCTATCCAGTGGGTCGATGCTGCATCCCTATGTGACCCCCTGCCCTGCAGGGCCCTGGTGCTGGGAACACTGGTTTAGGGGAAAGGCTCCTGCCTTGCAGGGAGGGAGGAATTTCAAGGGTCAGGACTGCACCGTTCCCCTCCCCCAGGGCTGTGGTGGGGCTCTGCTCTCTCCTGTGTGTGACGGGCTCTGGCCCAGCCTGGGCGGTGCCAGCCAAGGGCCGAGGGCTGTGGAGGTCGAAGCCCCTGAGCACAAAGCTGCCTTTTGCCATTGCTGTCAGGCACGAGTCCTGGGACAATGTCTTGCTCCCCTGTGCGGCTAAATGGGATCCTTGGCGAGTCGGTCGTCCTTCCTCACAACGCTGCACCTGGATTCAAACGCATCACATGGTTCCCCCCCAATCGTCTCCACGATGCATCAGGCACAGCGGTGCCCTTGGCAGTCATCATGCCGCGGAGGCCTGGAGAGCTGCCCCACATCTCCGTGCCAGACCAGAGGTACAGAGGTAAAGTGAGACTCTTTGACCAGAACTACTCGCTGGAAGTCAGCGCCCTGACGATGCAAGATGCGGGCAAATACGGGCTGACAGAAAACAGAGTGGGAATTGATATATACGATTGTTCCTACTTGCTGAATCTGTACGGTGAGTGCGTGTGCATGGATGTGCATGCATGTGTGCTTTCAGGTGTGTACTTTTGTGAAGTTCATGTGTGTGTGCACGCAGATGGAGGTGGAGGTCAAACAAGCTGCTTTGCAGGGAGCTGTCAAGGAAGCATCAAGGTTGCTCCAGGTCAGGGGGATGCCCAGGGACAGGCCAGGCTGTCTCTTGACCCAGGCACCCCTGAGGCTGCAGGGAGTCACAGCCCTTCCTGCACGGTCGGGCGGGGATAGGGGGGTGGCAGTAGAGTGGGAATGAGGGTAGACATCCAGACAGACACACAGCCGCTGTGTGTGCCGTGGGGCTGGCGCCCACCTTGTGGGAAAGGACCAGGACAGCAAAGGGGGCTGGGGGAAATGAGCCAAAGCAGAGGAAGGAGGAGGCAGAGGGAGGACAGGGGAGACCAAGAGCAAGGGGGGAGGTAGCTTCATCCCAGGCTCCTGCCCCAGAGTGAATGGTTGGGGCACGGCCCTGCAGAGCCCAGGCTTGCCTTGGGGCAGAGCCAGCCCCCTCTGCAAGGAGCAGCTCCCTGACCTGTGTCTCCTGCCGCCCCAGCGCTCACTGGGGCTGGTGTCCCCAGGGCTGAGGGGACACTGTCCCTGGGTCCCTTCTCCACCAGCCCCAGCCATGGCAGGGGGGAGCCTGCAGCCGGTTGTCTCCACAGCAGCCCCTCACTGCAGCCCTTTCTCCTCCTGCCTCCCCAGCGCGTCTGCCAGAGCCGGAGATCAGCACCCGCCTGACCAGGGAGGTGGACGGCACCTGCAATGTGACATTCACCTGCCACGCTGGGGAGCCCGACCCGCACACCACGTATACCTGGGCCCACCCAGGAGGAGGCGCCGTGGTCACCCCCGGGAAATCCCTGTTCATGCAGCACCAGCCTGGAGATGAGGACTCACCTGTCACCTGCACGGCCACAAACCCCGTCAGCAACAGCTCGGCCACAGCCTCCCCAAAGGCAGCTTGTGAAGGTGATGCTCAGCCACAGGGGTAGTGGGGGTGTTCCCCATGGCCATGGCATCCCAGGGTACACAGGGCAACTGTTCCTGCTCCGACACCCCGTTGCCCGCTGCTGCCCAAGTGCAGCCCAGCAGCAGGTTTAGCAGCAAACTAACCCCCGGACATGTCTCATTTCTTTCAGGCGCCACCCTGGCCCCTTCACTGTCCTATTGCCGTGCCAAGGGGCTCATCCTGCTGGGGGTGCTGGCAGTCCTGGTCCCCGGGATCCTGGCCGTGCACATGCTCACCAGGAGGAAGCCGAGACATGCTCACCACGAGGAGTCCACCTCAGGAAGGGGGCCAAGATGAGGGCAGGGGGTTTGCTGGGGGCGCGGGACACACCTCTCTCAAGTCGGTGCTTTTCTCAGCTCCCAAGCGGGGTCCAGGGCTGTTTGGAGTAGGAGTCCTGATTAAAGGGCTTCCCAACCCCATCCCAACACACTGAGCCTCCTGCTTGTCTGGGGCATCCCCTGAGTATGCTCAGGCTCTCCAGGCGTGTGGCTGTGTCCACAGCAGCTGACAGTAGAGGGAGTGCTGACAAGGATGCCACACAATGCAGTGGCGGAGGATTGGTCTGGACCAAGGAGCCGGGAGCTGGGGTCTATTCCAGAGCTGCTGCAGGGCCTAGGGCTGCGCTCCCTGCCTCAGTTTCCTTGTATGCACATGTGAGAGGGCACAGGAGGTGCTTGGTGGGGCTCTGGGAACACCGGCCCATGGCCCAGCTGTGCCACTGACCTCCCTGTGACTGTGGGTCCTCCTGAGTCCCTCTGGGCTTCAGCTCCTTCTGTCTCTAATCTGGCCCGAGCCTGTCATGAGCCTACTGGAGTGGGCAATGGGGTCCCCTCCTCCTCCCTGTCCAGTGCACCCCAGTATTACCTGCCATTGCCACCCTGGGAGCAAGCCTGGGTCTTTTCTGCAAGGGGCTGTCATCCAAAGTCCTGGGGTGAAGGCAAAGCACAGGAGCGCAGGGGGAAGCTGCACGGGGGACACAGAGACTGACATCCACTGCCCGGCTCCAGACACTGGTCAGCTGAGCCCGTTCCCCACAGCCCCAGCCGGCCTCCCCGGCCCCGAGTCCTCACAGCTTCCTCTCCACCCTGCTCTCCCTCCTGCCAGGGCCTCCGGGCACTGCCTGCCCCCATGGTGACTGGGGGGGGCAGGTTGGGAAGGCTTCATGTTTCTTGTGGCTAGCCTGGCTTCAGCCCCATGGGCTCCATTGGGTGGTGGCAACCATCTTTACAGAGGGCAGCCCCTTGTGCCACCCTCCCACCTAAGGTTGCCATCCATGCTGGAGGAAGTGCAGCGATGTGAGGGCAGGCAGGAGCCAGAGGATGTCAGAGAAGCAGCCTTCCTCATGACCCTCCATCTGGGGATGAGCCACAGTGCTGCCAGCCCCGCAGCCTGTGCCGAGCCCAGATAATGCCTGCCTTTGATACCCCAGAAGGAGCTGTTGATGCCCCCACAGGGAGCTGGGATTTGTGACTCCCCCTTCCCCAGCTCCAGGGCCACCGACTCCCTCCTGCCTGCACGAAGAGCTGGCCCACTAGGAGAAAATATGGGACATGTTCTTCCCACGGACACTCTCGCCCCCCAGTCTCAGACCATCTTTCCTGGTGCTGGTGAAGGCCCTCGTCCATCTCCTCCATCACAGTCAGCACCTCTGCTACCGCTGCACAGAGCAGGAGGATTGCTTGTCCTGTGGATGAGTGGCGTGGTGAAGGTGCCCTGCAAGCTTCCAGCTGCCCTCGATCCCAGCTGGTGACAGCACATGCTCAGCTGGTGCAGACCACAGCCGGGAGAGGATCCCAGCTCCAGGATCCTGCGCTCTCCGTCTCTGTCACCTGGACCCAGGTGGGGACCTAGTATGGGGTTGGCACGAGGCTGCTGGAGCAGAATCAGAGCCATGAAGCAGGCACTGAACAGCCCCTGCCTTCTGCTCCCTGCTTGTGTCTCACAGCCTGAGCAGCACCCCAGACACTCGCAGGGGTGGGGACAGATCCCTCCTGCTGCCCGCAGCCAGGCCAGCTCTTCCCTAGCGCTAAGACCAAGTGCCTATGGCTGCATGTACACACCACGAGATTTCCCATTTATGGTGTCACAACTGCCTTTGTGTTTGCACGAGCGGGATTTCCCCTCGGTTTAAAAATCTTTTGGGTATGTTAAAGTAAAACTGGTTGGACATAGTTTAGTTTGCGTCGCCGCTGACTACATCTTCGTATCTATGGACTCGTGGCGTGTAAAAGCCAAGTGACTCAAAGGCATGTAATGGCTTCTGTTTGCCACCAGGTGCACTGCAATATTTCTGTAGTTCAGGCCCTTGGTCAGTAGGTGCCACTGTTATTTTGCTGCTCTTCTTTTTTGGGGGGGTCAGGGGGGGTGCTCCTGCTCATCCCTCCCTCCCTTCCCCTGCTCCCGCAGCTGACTGCAGGCAGCCAGGGCACACTGTGGGGGGCATCTGAATTAGTTACCCTAGCACTTAATATATTAAGAATACAAAATACAGAATACGTAATACAGAAAGAAAGAAATAGAGCAGTAACCCGTATGGCCAATTACTGTTGTTTACTACCCTCTGCTAGAGGTCGTGCCCAGACCACCACCAGCGGTCCTGTATGTGCTCCCCCCGTGCCCTCCGCCCACTGCTCCCGCTACGGTGGGTGTGAACTGCTGAGCACAGCGGCATCACCAGCATGGGAAGTTTGCAACTGTTTGGAGTGTGGCACCTCTTCTTAACATTTTCATATTTCATCAGTAACCTTCCTATTTCTTATAATTGCTATTGCCATTCCAGAAACACGATGAATAGTGCAGGCGGATACTGCACACCAGACCCATCCCCAAGAGGTGCAGCCTCCTGGGTGATATGTAGGTAATATCAAAAATGTCCCATAAAGCCTGTGTGGAGCAGGGTGTGGGGAGTGGTAGCGGGGTGGCAGTGTCAAAATGGCGATGTTTGGACTGTGGTTCAAAACCCTGTCCTCCTCTTCTTTCTTCCCCTCCTTGCAGAAGACTTTCGAGATCAGAAATTGAAAAGCATGAATAAGGAAAGCAGCAAGAATCCACACCCGCCAGTAGAAGCAAGTTATTTAGCAGTAGTGTACTAGTTAAAAAGTGTATAATGTATGTAATAAGTAGTATATAGTGCAGGGGTCAGCAACCCCTGGCACGCGTGCCAAGCATAGCACGTAAGGGCATTTTGCTCAACACACCACCACCAACCCGGGCTCTCAGCAGCTGCTGCCAGCCATGGAGCCCAGGCTGCTCCCAGCAGGCAGCTGGGAGGCTGCAAGCCCTGCTGCAAGCAGACCGGGCCCCTTGGGCCGGCTGCAGCCGGGAGGCTGCAAACAGCTGCTCTGGGCTCCGGCATCTCACCACTCTGGCACCTTCCAAGGTAGACATTGCGGTTTTTTCAGCACTCTGGCCAAAAGACGTTGCCTACCCCGATATAGTGTATAGTTAAATAGTACATATATGTATATAGTGTATAGTGTATAGCTATAGATAGTATATAGATACTCGTGTATAGTGTTTTAATAAACAATGTTGTATAGATACAGAGGTGCTGGGGAGGAAAATCCAAACTATTTTTCTACTTATTTTCCATTTTCCTATTTTTCTAGTAATATAACAATTTTTAAAATTGTCTTTATTTATTATCTACATTTTTTTTAATGATGCCTTTTTGATTAAAAAAAGATGTTTAGTGCACTGCACCATGATTTCATTTTTGAAATAAAGATTTGAAATTGCGTCTATACGTGTGGCATGTTTTCTTTCATAGGCAGATTGGCATGCACGGCGGTCCATGCGATTTGGGGGTGTGTGGGTTGGGAGAGCTGATGACCATGCCCACCCGCCTCAGCGTGGGGATCCTTCATTTGGGAGTGCCTATGGAGTGATGGGATTACTGGAAAGAGTTGCAGGGTGGACTGTTATGGGAGGTCTAATGCTTGTCCAGTGCTTGTTTCACTCCCAATCCCAATGTACATGGATCCTGGCAAGCCTGTCTGAGGGTGCAGCATCTTTTTTCAGGAAAGACTCGCCCCCTCCATCCCCCCACCCCCCCACAGAGCACCCCATCCCGAACCCAACAAGACAAGAAATAGCAACAAGCAGCAATACTGCGCCAGGCAGGGGAGAGCCAGTGCCAAAGAGGACAGACTAATATTTTTGAGGAATGCGTATGGCTTTGGGAGGTGGCTGGTGATCGTGATTATAGCCCTTTAGACAGTTAGGACCATGGGGTCATGACTTGGATTAATAGACTCCAGTATTGGAGAGCTGGTCGGTGTTCAGGGGGTTGGAGCACCACAGGAAGAGCAATGTCCAGATGAATCAGAGCCTCAGCCAGAAAGAGATAGAGACTGAGTTTGGTGCGGTCAGAGCCCAAGAAAGAGACTGACCAGTGGGGTTGGGGTCCAAGTCAAGTGGGCCCACTTGGATGCAAACCAAGAAGAAGAAGAGTCTTGCCCTGAGGAGAGAAACGAGGGTGAGGATAAACAGAACTGGGTTGATAACCAAGAATGCATGAGTGTCAAGACTGAAAGGGCCATGGACTGTTATTTAACAAGTTACCATAGGCAGGCTGGAGTCACACCAGGCACCCATTGCAGTCTGAGTTGTCAGGCCAAGGGTTGAGGGGGTATTGTCGTCAAGGCAGATAGTAGAATAGAGCTGTGAGGTACAAATACATCAGGGACGGGGACGGTGGTTATGCAAGAGCAGGGCTGGGGTAGGTTGGAGTGAGGTAGAGGCTCAGAAGCACAAATGGGCATGTTACTGCTGGGACACGTCCCGCACGAAGTAGTAGGGGTTTTATAGTACCCTTGTCAGGGGCTTGTGGTTTGCATGGGTTCCTCCTGATCGCCTGTCTTCTCATCAATGTCCTCATGGGAGGGACCACGCGGGGCTAGGCCTGGAGTCTGACAAGCTGCCTTGTGGCATCACAGACTTTGCCCCTGCCTGCTGGCTTGGCTGCTCTAGATTCAAGTACCAGTGGTCCAAAGAATCAGCTTCATAAATCCCACACCTGTGTACAAACTTCCACCCCAAAGGCAAGTCCTCACTAGCCATGTTGTTCCAGCACACCAGCCACAACCTTCAGCCTCCCGTGCTCAAACTTTTCCTCTGACATCGTGGCCATACTAAGACCTTGTCCTGAGCTCCAGGGATTCTTGAACACCAGACAAGCAACCAGAACAACAGGCTTGCCATGCTCCAAGGTAATAAACCTCCTTCTCCAACAAAGGATGGGACCCTGGAACAACACCTTACCGGGGACCTCAGAGATGTGCAGTTGTGCGCCGTACCCCTTGACTTCACAGGCTCTTGGGCACTTTACCTTGCGGGGGTCGGGGGGGGCAGCGAAGTGCTGTGGGACTCTAGCCCTGAAACCCACTCACACAATGGAATAATGTGCTGCCTTCTCACTTGACCCCAAAGTCTCCTCCCCTCCTCTGAGTGTGAATAAGTCCATGAGAGGAAGGTTAGGATGCTTGTGGGCCACTTGTATGGAAAACACTGGCCCTCCCTTTTGCCTTCTTTTTCTCCAGATTACATCACCTCACCCCAAGTCTGTGTAACAAGGTGCAGTCTAAAATGACCACCTGGGGCAGAAACGCTTGCTAGTATCAAGGCATACACCCCTGTGCCATCCATCCCACCTTGAGGTACCACAGGCATATTCTGTGGGCATCCAGCAGATCCTAACCTTGTACTTGAAGAGCTCCCTGGCATCCAAGTAGTGCTTCAGGATGTAAGAGCTGAAATCCAAGTTTTAGGCCCAGACAATCCTAGTTGAGAAGGCAGGAAACAGGATCTACCTGCTCCACCCTTTAAAGCATTCCCCAAGACAGCAGCAGGCTCTCTGGGCAAAGACTCTGGCTCTTATCTCAGACCCCTTCACAGTTCTTTGATTCCTTTCTCACCTAAACCTCTGGCTGCACATCTGGCTTTCTAAACTTTGGCTTTGACTTGTGCTTCACCCTGAACTTGGACTTAAGCTTCCAGTTTGCCATGAACCCCGGTCTTGCCCTCTCGCTCTATGACTTGTGGCTTACTGTGAACCCCAGTTTGACTCCTGTCTCTCTGTGAACCACTCTCTTGATTTGCCTTATTAACTAGGTAACCTACCTGCACTACCTAGGCCACAGGCTCTAAGACATGAGGCTAGGGAAGTATAGGTAGGTAGGTCTGTGTGGAAAAAAAGGCCCCTGTCTCTCTGTAGAGATCCTCCCTCTCTTTCTGCCCTGCCTTGGACACACATCCTTCCCCTTTCACCTGTGTGCTGTTTGGTTTTAACCTGGTCATCTATGTGACAGAGAGAGAGAAATTCCAAAAGTGTGTGTGGGGGGGTGGGGGGTGTCGCTCTTCCCTTTGTCCTGGAGCAGGCACGCTGGGAAGGAGAGGAGTCACTTTGGGAACACAGATAAGCTTGGACCTCTGGAGAGATGCTCCAGGTGATCTTACTGTGAGTAGCCTTGGAAACTTAGCCAGTATATTAGGATCAAGTGATTTTAGCCACGTGTTAAAAGGGCCACGAGCCCATTCTCTTTTGTTCAAGGTGTTTTTCTCTTTGCTCTGTGACTCCCCATTCTCTCTCCCTCCGATCAATAAATGCTATCTGTTACATTTTTGAGGGAAGAGGGAAGGGACTAGCCTTTTAGCTCCTTTTGCTCGGCTAGCTAAAATGGACTTGGCTTTTTTACCTTCCTCCAGGACAGGGGTTACTTTTGAATGCTTTAGGCTATCAGAAGAACCCCAAAATACCACGGTGGGCTAAGCACCCCCAACATCTGCAGGGTCTGTGTACCCTAGGCTGCAGAGAGACCTAACAGAGACCAGAGACTGGGTGGTGGCAGCAATTACCCTAAGCTTGTGGATGTGCTCCAGGAACGGGGTCAGCCAGATGTAGGCACCCCATGTGGGGCACCCAAATCATAGTTTTGGTCGGGCACAGTGAGGCAGGTGGCTCAGCACAGTAGTGCCCCCATAGCCTGCTCCCAGAGAAGGAAGGCAGGGATCGTTGCCAATTCAGAATTTATTCAGACAGCCCCATTAGCAAATAATTCTTCTTCTGGTATTGTGGATCTTACACTAAAACATGGATGCCACATAGGTGAAATGCCCCTACTGAACCACAATATCTTGAAGCATATCAGTAGTTGCCTTACAGCTGATGTACTCTCAGCCACCGATGGTCCCCAAGCAGGAAAGAAAGGCCATCCAGGCTGACTTGGTTATGACCTCCTGCAGAAACTGCTCAGTGACAGTGATTTCTGGATGCTGTTGCAATCTTCCTGCACAGCTGCTCAGGGTAAGGAATTTCCCATGTCAAAGTGGTTGGCAATGAAATGGAGTCCATCAGGGGATCCCATCTTCCAGATGGGAATACGCATCTACGCTCCGTGTCCGTGAGCGTCCGCATGCTAGTGCTTTGTGTCTTAGGTGAAACATCCCTCTCATCAGATGCTCAAAGACTGGAGGTGGTCACAGAGGTGACACCTTCTCTTACTTCTTGCCCCATTGGCACGTAGCTCCTTGACACAAAGTGTACGTAAAACAGTTAGAGAAGTCTTATCTGAAATACCTCCTGCTATCATGCCAATACAGTCCAGATGCCAGACAAGCTGGAAGAAAAGCATGGTCAGGTGTGCCAAGGCATTGCACTATGAAGAGGAGGTAAGAGCCAGTGCCTCACAGGACTGCTCTGTAGATCATGGAGAGTAAGAAAATGGTTTAGGTGTCTCCTGTGCTCTTGCACTGAAGGCAAAGTCTAAGCCCAGCCTTTCTATCATGAAAATGATCAGTCACCCAGTAGAAGGAAGTCCTGAGTAGAAAGCTGTGCTGTTGCTATTCATCCGCTTTCAGAAGTCTTGGGCATCATGGCCAAGAGGCATGCTGTGATTTTTGTTCACTAGCCCTAGAGCTGTGCAGCATTATGGCAGCAGGGGCCCCAGGACATTTTGAGTCATTGCAGCTGGGGAAGCCTGTACTTTTTTACAGTGCTGGAAGATCATACCTGAAGTACATTGATGGCTTGTCTGTCCAAACCTTTAGACAAGGACTCTGCCTCTGCCTCTGCCTCCGCCTCCGCCTCTGCCCCTCCTAGTGGAGTTGAGCAATATACACTTCCCTTTAGAAAATTGATGAAAGTAGTGAAACACCATGGGCTCGGGTTTTTTCCTAATATTATCACCTGCCAATTATCTACAGATAAATCAATATTCCATGCGAGTCAAAAACGATATATTCATCTAAGTCTGTGGTTTTATGGCTTGCAATATTGCCAATTGCTGAGCAAAACACTTTAGCTAATTACACAAGAGATACTTTGTCCCACAGGTACCCAGAGAATATTTAGATGAACAAATTCATGTTTCATCACAGAGCCTGAAAAATATTGGCTGTATTTTTTCCTAGAGGGGACAAGCAGCGAAAGAAAATATTTATATAGGATCTACAAACTAGTAATATTCCCATCCTCTTCAGCTTTTTCCATGGTAAAGAGTAGGGAGCCTTCTTGTGTTCCCTGTTTGTCAGGGACAAAGGGCTAGGGAGAAAGGAAGTGAGGGCAAAGAGGTAGGAAGACAGACAAAGAGACTAAGCAACCACTGAGTGGAATATGTGTTACTTTTGCTCCTTTGATTTTTTCCCTCTTAAACCAGTCCCTTTAACATGAACAGCCCCATTTCTTGAAGAGAAAAAGTGTAGCACTTCAATGAGTGCATCAGAGGTTGTTCTTTCTCTCTCTTTGCTCGGTGACAGACATCATGAACATTTTCTATATGGATTTTCAGTGAGTGCATTCTTATTTTATTTTATAATCTAGTGGGTGGGAGTAATGTATGAATGTACATACATTTATTTTTGTTTGTGAATGTTTATATACATGGACACACACACATGCATACATGCATATATACATACATACATACATGTGAGTATGTCATTTTAGAATTAAAATGTAACATAACATATTGGAAAGACTTCCTGAGGAATAAGGTATATAGTGCTGGCTACCAATCTTCAAGGAAAATGAATTCCAACAGGAACAGGTGCAAAGAAGGGCAATGAGGATGACCAAGGGGATGGTCTAAAAGAATTTGACTTGTTTATCGTAGGATAAAAAGGGTATACCTGGGAAAAGGATGCCTTTCTTCAAGTGTAGTGGAGGGAGGGTGTAAAAATAAGGGAGATAATAGAACTGTTTAAATGAAAAGATAGTGTCAGAATAGGAAAACTAACAGGTAAATGAACCACCCATAAATGTGCGTAGGTTGTGCATTAGATAGGGGATATATAATAGGTGTGTCCAAAATACCTAGGGCTCTACGTGATGATCGGTGAGTTCTTTCCAGGCCTAAGTCTTCTTGGCCACATCCACAAAAGAGCTTTTTTTACCTCAGTTGGAACGGGAGTGAAATGTAAGTGCCTACACCCAACCTTACAATGTGAAACCCTTGGTTAGGTGCTACCTAACCCTGGATGTGCCTAGACTCTACAGGCATTTTCGTGTTTGTATTTCAAGTTTCCCAGGTGCCTAGATGGACCATCTGTGCTAGGTCAGGACAGACCCAGCCTAGATTCAGTTTTGCAGACAGGTGATGCCTACACCCGGGCACAATTGAGAAATTAGTTGTTCTTTTGCCTTGGGCTCCTTAGAAGCCTAATCTAATAGATGTGCTGAGAGCATGTCTAACATGCACACACACACACACACACACACACACACACACACACACACACACACACACACACACACACACACAGAGGACTGGGTATCTCACCAAATCCAATGGTGTCCACAATCTTGTTTTAAAATCTGACTGGAGATGGTATTGGTGCCACCTTCCTTTTAATCAGTAGCTCAGTGTTTACTTTTAGCACACTTGCCCAGGACATGGGGCACAGATAGTTCCCTGGTTTTCCTGAAGGAGCTCACACTCACACCCTGCAGGGGACCACTTAAACCGCCTGAGTCATGAGGCTGAAGCCTAGGGTGACATCCTATTCTTTTCTGTCTAGATTTGGTTTTGTACATGAGTATTTAAGTACCGATGGAAGGGGTGGCATTCTGCTTCTGGGTACATAGGTAGCCATCCATGGGCATAGGGATACATGCCACAGAAATAGTGACCGCCTGTGCACAGGTGGCCCTTCTGGGACTTACATGACTAAATCTGTTTATCCAGGAGCCCAGAAAAGAATACAGGGCCACCCAAGCATTTAAGGCATTATTTTTGCTCTGAGTGTCTCCTCTGTTCTGGGCGGCTCTGTCTTTTTTTCTGCCCAATGACCATTCAACGGAAAATACAGAAGCACTCCCTGGAGCAGGCACCAGAACCAAAGATTTCCCCCTCCTAGGTGAGTCCCCATTTCAAGCCTGTGTAGAGTCAGACTCCTTTTGGCATTTTTTCATTTGCCTCCTCTGGTCCAATTAGCCTTGATTTCTGTTCTGCATAGTGGAAAAGTTTGAAGAGAAGGAATGGGAATTTTGCTGTTGGCTTGAATGCCATGGAGAGGATAGCCCTTGTTCCCAAAAGGGCTCTGTTGTGAGGGAACTTGAAACCGTGGATTGAAAAAATGGGAAATAGCCATGTCTAGCAAATCCCTACTGCTAGTCAGGGTTGGGCAAAAAGAAGCCCATTATTCTTCCTGGAAAAGTTTGTAATTTTTTGATTTTTGGTCGATATTTCTATCATTTTCTGGTTTGTTTCATTGTTTTTGGTTGTCTGTAATTTTAGACTGGATGCACAGCTACACTCAATGCTTTAAAAAGTTTGTTTTTTGACAAATGAAAACCACAGATACAAAATTTTCACCTTGTTTTTTGTGTGTATGTTATTATGTACCGTGTTAGAAGATATAACAATAGGAATTTTAAAATATGGTTTTGTTCATTTAGTTGTCTGCTAGCTAGCTATATTGCCCAACCTCAGGTGAACACTTACATAATGTATTTAACACTTTAAAATACATTAATACTAGTTATGTAGTGTAATGAGCAGGACTTTAGAGATTAATCTAAAGGCTTGGATGCTGAGATGAAGATTCATCTGCCAAGCTAAGACATAATGAAAGATGCATCCATAAAACAGGAATGAGAGACAATACCAAAATAAGAAGAATGCATGGTTGCCTTAAATATTGATCTGTCTTTTAGGGTGGGGTGAACCAGCTGGTCAAATAACCAAGTTGTCACCATATTGGTCTAGAGGAAAGAGCATCAGGGTTTGTGGTAGAGGTGATATCGTTTTTTAGACCAGCAAGATTTTTGCAACATTTTCTTTAATTGCAAGCTTTTGGGCACAAACACCCTTTGTCAGGCTTTGCAGAAAAGATTGTAAAAGTCCTCCTGGGTAGAAAGGAAAGTTCATATTTCATAGGATTTCACAGAGGAGTCAATAGATGGAAAACTCCTCTGGGCAGGCAGCTCTTAGCTGGTAAGGTGTCTCTCAGCTCTTCCATGTGTCAGGTATCTTTCCAAGGAGGAAGCAATTTTGACCACGTGAAACCTGAGATCCTGCTCTTGCCTTTATTCAAGGTCATTTGCATCATCAGAGAGACTCCTTACCAGCTAAGCGCTGCCTGCCCAGAGGAGTTTTCCATCCACTGACTCCTCTGTAACATCCTATGAAATACGAACTTTCATTTCTACCCAGGAGGACTTTTACAATCTTTTCTCTGATGCCTGATGAAGGGTGTTTGTGCCCAAAAGCTTGTACTTAGAGATTTTTTCCCCTTTTTTTGCAAAAAATCTTGTTGGTCTAATAAAAGCTATCACTTCTGCCACAAGCCCTGACTGGTCAAATAATGTTTTTTTCAGGTACAGGGTCAAAGTGAGAGACTAGGGAAAAATCAGTCTGAGTTGAAACAGAATTGCTCCCAATCTTGCAGCAGGATCCAGGCAAATCTGGCAGGCCAACCCGTGCGTACAAGGGGCTCGCTGAGCACATCCAGGTCAGTGATGTAGGCTCTCAAATGCTGTTCGATTGTGAAACGTATTCATAGGAAAACATCATTTGCTATATATTCATCCAAGGTACTTTAGTTCATTGAGAACAAGTTCTGCTAAGGTTACAGGGAAAAAGACAGGAATGAGAGCCAAGAGAAATTGTTTCACTTCAGATTCATTCTTCCTTCTCTTCGAATCCACAAGCAAATTTCTATTGAGGCCAGTTTGAAGTCCCTGGATGACAAGAATCTGACTGAGAGCAAAATACATAAATACATGCTACTATTCGCTCTTTTTTGTTCAGTTACTTGGGCTCTGCACGAGCCCCCCAACCCTGATCCCCCCAGTCCCCGCATGGGGGAGGGGGGCTCTCTGGGGGAGCATGGCAGAGCCCCCCATGTGGCATGGGGCAGTGGGGAGCAGTGGGGATCGCTCCCCAACCTGGCAGCACCCCATGAGTGCGGGTTTCGGTCCCCTCCCCTCTCCTCTCCTCCAGCCCCCCCTCCCCTACCCCTACTTACTAGCTCCGAGTCTGGCGCCAGCTCCCTGCTGCAGCCATCGGGGACTGCCCAAATCATCAAAGCTCTCCAAGTCTTTTCCAAATCGATTCAGGGAGCTTCAAAGAGATTTGGACCTTTTAATTGGTCCCCTGATTTGATTTGGATTTGGAGATTTGGCCACCGAATTGAATCAGCACACAAAGCTTTGCATGGCCCTAGTGCCCAGTCCTTGACCATCATCAGGATAGGCCTTCCTTTTGACTTGACAGAAAGTCACAATCCTGAAACCCGCTCAGGTCTGGCTGTAAATGAGGCTTTGCGCTCAGCTCCAAAGCAGAATTAATTTATAGATATCTGGCTCAGCCCAGCTAGAGGCATGTCTCTTAAAGCTGCTAGGTGCCCTGCCACAGAGCAGGGATTTGGACCCTGGACAGCCTACTTGAAGCACTATGTCTCTTTGACACTTAGGCAGCGTGCTAGGATTGGGAAATTTGGAAGTAAAATATTCAGACTTTCTCTGATACCAAATTTCTGAAGAGCTTTCCTTTGAGCTAGAAATTAGCTTCTCAATTTGGTTATTAAAACCCATCAGCTGGCTTTGAAAATACCATGTTTCTACTTATTTCCCTATTTTGGAAATTCCTTTCACAGTCATTATGCTAAGTCCAAATGTTTTGCTCTTCTTACAGGTCACTGCCTGGGAATGGAAAACCAAACCACTGTGACTGAGTTTATTCTCTTGGGACTTTCCAGTAACCCACAACTCCAAACTTTACTTTTCTTTGTGTTTTTGGTGATATACCTAATCACCCTAGTGGCTAATGTAGTCATTATGTTGGTGATACGAGCTGATTCTCATCTTCATACCCCCATGTATTTCTTTCTGTCTCATCTATCCATTGTTGATATGTGCTATTCCTCAACCGTTGTCCCGCAGATGCTGGTGGATTTACTAGCAAGACATAAAACTATTTCTGCCAATGCTTGCTTCACCCAGATATTCTTCATCTTTTTCTCAGGTACTTGTGAAATATTCATTCTCTCAGTAATGGCATATGACCGTTATGCTGCTATCTGTAAACCTTTGCATTATGCAGTGACTATGAACAAAAAAGTGTGCGGGAAATTAGTGGGTGGTTCGTGGACAATGAGTCTTATTAATTCACTGGTAAATACAGTTCCTGTATTAAAATTGCACTTCTGTGGGCACAATGAAATTGCACATTTTAGCTGTGAGCTTCCCCCAGTACTAACGCTGTCCTGCACTGGGACGTTCATCAACAAAGTAGCTCTTCTTTCTTCTGTTGTGGTCACTGGTTTCAGCACGTTCCTCCTCACCTTGGTTTCCTACATCCAAATCATTGCCACCCTCCTGAGGATGCGCTCTGCAGAGGGTAGACGTAAAGCCTTCTCCACCTGCAGCTCCCACCTCATTGTGGTGGGTTTGTTTTATACAACGGCTCTTTTTCAGTACATGAAACCCAGCTCCATTTCTTCAGCGCTCCTAGATCAAGTCTTTTCCGTCCAATACAGCATCTTAACCCCCATGTTAAACCCCATCATCTATAGTCTGAAAAATAAAGAAGTGAAAACAGCCTTGGAGAGAATTTGGGGGAGTTTGGGGGGGAGTTCCCAACTGATATAAAAAATGCAATTGTAAATACTGATGTCCAATATTTGTAATTGAAAATAAATACTATGGAAAATACAGAAGTATAGGAAACAGCTACCTGGATGAGGCTAGAACACAAATGGAAATGACATGTATTTAAAAAATATCCTGGCTTGTATCTGCCACTGAACGTAGAGCACATCACATGAAGAGAAGCAACACAATTGTTTTAGCTAGATTTTAAAACATCCTTTAGTTCAAGTCCAGTTCTCTCAGTTAAGCCTGACATTTTCTTGAAAGTAAGCCTGTTTTGATTGCAGTTCAAATAAGAATGAATTCACTATACATTTTTTACCTGTACTAGTAAAATCGGCTGAGTATATATCCCAGAATTTATGTATCCAGTGGCTTTGTAATAAGCCTGTGCTCCCTGAAGGAGATTCAGAAATGTGGTGGATGAAATTCCCTTGACTTAAAATTGATTGTAAGTATCTTATTCCTGAAATCTTTGAGAAACCATATTGAATATCCAGTGATGGAGGCCTGTGCAGAGCGTCTAGTGTTTGCTTCGGATTTGGATTCAGTCGATTTGGGGAACAGTGATTCGATTTGGTGATTCAAATCACTGTCCCGTATTGATTCAGCCAAGTCTGATTCAGAGATTCGGATGCCGCCCGATCTCTGAATCACCCAGGCCAGGCCCATCCCCTGTCCCATCTCCCAGCTTGGCAATGGCTGCCCGCCCGCCACAGCTCCCAGCACTTTGAAAAACATTTGGATTCAGTCGATTTGGGGAACAGTGATTCGATTTGGTGATTCAAATCACTGTCCCGTATTGATTCAGCCAAGTCTGATTCAGAGATTCGGATGCCGCCCGATCTCTGAATCACCCAGGCCAGGCCCATCCCCTGTCCCATCTCCCAGCTTGGCAATGGCTGCCCGCCCGCCACAGCTCCCAGCACTTTGAAAAACAAAAAGCCCCAACTCAGCGGGTGCTGCCAGGTGACAAAAAACCCCCAAACTCACCAGTTCCTGCCTGGCAGGCTGCCCCACACTGCCCCATGCTGCACTTGGGCTCCAGTCACAATCTCACCATCAAGGGCAATGGGCCCTTGGCCCCCCCACCTTTGTCTCATTTTCGGGCTTTATCTCTGCCTGGTTTTGGGCACAATCTCTGCCCTACTCTGGCTATGACAGCGCCCTACTCTGGCCAATCCTGGGAGTTCTCCTCTATCCTAAACCAAACCAGCCATTAAAGAACAAACCAACCAGCAAGCTCACATCTTATCTCAACCCACCCCAGACTGGGTGAGCTGATGCTAGAACAAAATAAGCACCCTGTCACTTTAGAGTGGCAGCCTGACTTGGGCAGCCACACAAATGACAAGAAGGACCCAACAGTCTAACACAGACAGTAGGGCTGTGCGAAACCACCATTGCGCTTCAACTTCTCTTTCAACGTGTCAGCAGAACAGTGTTTTGTTTCAAGTTCAGTTTTGTTTTGAAAGCACCGTTCCATTTTGTTTCGCCGTTTTGCTGTTTTGACGCTGTTTCGATGTTTTGCCCATAGGTTATAATGGGAAGTGGGAAACTGGGGGAGGAGCACCCTCCTGTGATCACAGGCAGATCGGGGCTCGCACCTCGGGGAGGAGTCCAGCAGAGCCTTGTAGCCCTCCCGGGGGTATGGGCGGGAGGTTACTGCTGCCGCCTGGGACTGGTGCCGGGAGCTGAGCTGGTGGAGGGAGGCAGAGCACAGCCCCGGTGCTGCACTCTGCTTCCCTGCACCGGGCTCAGTTCCATGGGGCTGTGAGCCGCGTGGGTGCAAGGGGCTGGGAGTGGAGCCCAGTGGAGTGGGGCAGAGCTCCATGCTGCAAGTGGCTGGGAATGGAGCCTGGTGGAGGAGCATGCAGCCCAGTGGAGGGTGGTGCGGTGCAGCCCTGTGGCTGTGCTCTGCTTCCCTCCACCAGGCTCAGCACCCAGAGGCTTGCGGCCCCGTGGAACTCAGCCTGGTGGCAGGAGGCAGAGCGCAGCACCAACTCTGCCCACCTCCTGCCACCGGGCTGAGCTCCATGGGGCTGGTGGCGCCGATCAGAGTGCAGCCCGGCGGTGGGAGGCAGGCAGAGCTGGCGCTGCACTCTGACCGTCTCCACCAGCCCCATGGAGTGCAGCCTGGTGGCGGGAGGCAGGGAGAGACAGGGCAGCGCTCCGCACCAGGCTGAGCCACATGGGGCTGCAGAGCCACTTGGAGTGAAGTCCTGGCTCTCCCCTGCCTCCCACCACCTGGCTGCTGCTTTGAAACTCAAAACATTCGGAAAGTTTCAAAACGTTTCGACTGGCCTCATTTCATTTCGATTTTGCTGTTTCAAGTTCAAAATGAGTCGTAACAGTGTCAAAATGAAACAGCCAGCGAAGCTTCACACAGCCCTAACAAACAGTATCCTCCTCATTCAGAGTGAACACATCTCAAGGGGGACCACCCAGCCCAGGTCTCTCAACCGGCTCCCAAGGGTTGTGTCTTTCACCTGAGTTCTCCGGCAGTTACTCTCTCTTTGTATGGGGTTTGGCTCCTGGTGAAGCTTCTCCTGGTGGCTGTTGTTTCCACAGCACTTTCCTCCTTGGTGGGTGCCCACCCTCCTGAGCATGCCCTTATCTAACCCCCTTGATTATCATTTGTATCCAGTGTCTCACCACTCCCCCCTCCCCCCAGGTGTTAGTCTTTCCTGTCGGGAGTTTATCTGCTTCCCTTCCCTCCAGACTTGCAGTCCTTACTTTAGCTACTTCTTTACTGTCTGGGTACCTGTACATGTCATGGGGTTTGATCCCATTAAATGAAATAAGTTTATAAAATTAAAAAATGTTTATTTCAGAGTGTCACATCAGTGTTTGCCCATAGTAGGCTTTCGAATGAATTAAGCCCAGTGTGCAATTTCCTGTAAATTCCATCAGGGGAGCTGCACACCAATCTACCCTGCTGCTGTGTACCCTACTGAATTACAGCAGGGGGTGCATGTAAACCAGTAATACATCACTAATTCCCTCCCTCCTCACTCCCCAAACCATCCCCTAGGGAGTCCATGCTAACCCCCCCTGCCAAGCTGCCCAACTTGTTCACATGGTTCAGACACCCTGAAATCATGTGAACTCCCACCCCTCCCACATCCCCTCCCACATCCTTATAGCCTCTTAAAGGACACCTATTACTCCCCAAGCAAGGGATCTCCACAGTAACCCGTGGTCACAGCCCCACCTCATCCACCCCCAAACCTATCCAGGGTGGAGCAGACCCTTCAGTTATGGGGTGAGGAGCAGGTAGCCCGCCTGCTCCTCATTCTTCTCCATATCACTGGTGATGAGTGAGACTGGTGTGGGGGGAGGCAGTACACCACTTGTGGTGGTGGTGGTGGTGTGTAATATATCATGGGGCATAGACCAAAAACTCATGTCCATCTTACAGTTTGTTTTCCACATTTCAGGACTACATTTCCCAGCATTCCCCAGTGGGCAGGGCTCTGGACGGTTTCCATGGGGACCCCTGCTACAGCTGTACAATGAAGCCATGAATACCTGTACATATGCTCATGACTGTGTGGCGCGTAGCATGGCTCTCTGCAATGTTGGGGTGGCTGTAGCCCGCATCACCCCCCACCAATCTTTCTGCCAGACCTAGTGGCATGGAGTATAGATGCATCTCAGCATGTTGAGAAACAAGACAGTGTAATGAATGGACACCTTTCCTTTTACTACAAAATGCATTCTTTGCACAGTTGGATATAGTTTTAAAAGATGGCTAAGAAGCTGGCTGGATAGCTGGATAGCTGGATAGCCAGAAGCTGGCTGGATATAGCATTAATAGCCACAGACACTTTTAGGAGGATTATTGTCCTCGCAAATGACCCCCCCCCCACACACACACCAAAAAGCTGAGGACTCCAGCAGGCTGCTCATACCACTCCCCCACCCCCCACCATGGGATAAGGAGAGGTTTAATTAACCCTTCGCAGAACATGGTCCATCCAGGGACGCTAGGCTACCAGGTGTCGGGTACTGAGCTGTGTGCACCCTCACCTCTCCACCCCCTGGCTGCCAGCCTGCAAACAATAACCCCCTACCCAAGGCCAGGCAGTGCTCCATTCCTTCTCCCCATGCCCTGCACATCCTCCACCCCTGGTCCCTGCCACCCTCACCAAAACCTCCTCCCCGCCACTACAGACAAAAATGTACTGGGGACACAGATGTTTTCTGGAGAAAATAGGCAAAGGATTTTATTTTAATGGGAAGACCAGCCAGTGCTAGTTGTCAGCAGCGTCCATAATATGTGCTGCCAGGCAATCCCTTACAAAGGCTGCCTGACCAATGTCTCCATGCTGGGATTGTATGCCATGCACTGCCCACCCGTGTCTCTCCCTGGTCACTGCCTCATGCTTCGTCAGCCCACAACTCACTGAAAATCTCCCCCCTGGTTTCACAAATATTGTGGGGCATGCAGGCTGACACTATAAAGGCTGTTATGTTTTCTGGCTCCAACCTGAGCCTGCAGTTCAGCGCCCTCCACCGTGCTTTGAGGCAGCCAAAGACGCATTGAACAGCCATCCTGCATTTGCTGAGATGGTAGCTGAAAACCATCTTCTGTGGATCCTTAACACTCCCTCCATAAGGCTTCATGAGCCAGGGCCTGAGGGGATGAGCAACATCCGCTATTATAAGTGGGGGGATGGCAACACCACGGATCACTGTCTCGGGGACTCTGGGAGCATAGTGTCCTTTCTCCATCAAGCCAGGCAGTGGAGAGTTTCTAAACACACACGCGTCATGTGCGCTGCCTACCCACCCTGTATAGCTGTTTGTGAATCAGCCCCAATGATCCACCATGGCTTGCAGAATCACCGAGGCAAATCCCTTCCTGTTCATGAATGACCACCCCCTCCTGGGGGGGACTGAACAGGGATGTGTGTGCTGTCTAAAGCCCCCATGGCATTGAAGCCATCAATAACTTCCTGGGAGCTACCGAGGCAAATCAAGTTGTTCACCATGAC